CTGAAACCTGCTGACTGAGTGACGGGTTCCTCTAACGTGCAGGAACTGAAACCTGCTGACTGAGTGACGGGTTCCTCTAACGTGCGGGAACTGAAACCTGCTGACTGAGTGACGGGTTCCTCTAACGTGCGGGAACTGAAACCTGCTGACTGAGTGACGGGTTCCTCTAGCGTGCGGGAACTGAAACCTGCTGACTGAGTGACGGGTTCCTCTAACGTGCGGGAACTGAAACCTGCTGACTGAGTGACGGGTTCCTCTAACGTGCGGGAACTGAAACCTGCTGACTGAGTGACGGGTTCCTCTAACGTGCGGGAACTGAAACCTGCTGACTGAGTGACGGGTTCCTCTAACGTGCGGGAACTGAAACCTGCTGACTGAGTGACGGGTTCCTCTAACGTGCGGGAACTGAAACCTGCTGACTGAGTGACGGGTTCCTCTAACGTGCGGGAACTGAAACCTGCTGACTGAGTGACGGGTTCCTCTAACGTGCGGGAACTGAAACCTGCTGACTGAGTGACGGGTTTCTCTAACGTGCGGGAACTGAAACCTGCTGACTGAGTGACGGGTTCCTCTAGCGTGCGGGAACTGAAACCTGCTGACTGAGTGACGGGTTCCTCTAGCGTGCGGGAACTGAAACCTGCTGACTGAGTGACGGGTTCCTCTAGCGTGCGGGAACTGAAACCTGCTGACTGAGTGACGGGTTTCTCTAACGTGCGGGAACTGAAACCTGCTGACTGAGTGACGGGTTCCTCTAACGTGCGGGAACTGAAACCTGCTGACTGAGTGACGGGTTTCTCTAACGTGCGGGAACTGAAACCTGCTGACTGAGTGACGGGTTCCTCTAACGTGCGGGAACTGAAACCTGCTGACTGAGTGACGGGTTCCTCTAACGTGCGGGAACTGAAACCTGCTGACTGAGTGACGGGTTCCTCTAACGTGCGGGAACTGAAACCTGCTGACTGAGTGACGGGTTCCTCTAACTTGCGGGAACTGAAACCTGCTGACTGAGTGACGGGTTCCTCTAGCGTGCGGGAACTGAAACCTGCTGACTGAGTGACGGGTTCCTCTAACGTGCGGGAACTGAAACCTGCTGACTGAGTGACGGGTTCCTCTAACGTGCGGGAACTGAAACCTGCTGACTGAGTGACGGGTTCCTCTAGCGTGCGGGAACTGAAACCTGCTGACTGAGTGACGGGTTTCTCTAACGTGCGGGAACTGAAACCTGCTGACTGAGTGACGGGTTCCTCTAACGTGCGGGAACTGAAACCTGCTGACTGAGTGACGGGTTTCTCTAACGTGCGGGAACTGAAACCTGCTGACTGAGTGACGGGTTCCTCTAACGTGCGGGAACTGAAACCTGCTGACTGAGTGACGGGTTCCTCTAACGTGCGGGAACTGAAACCTGCTGACTGAGTGACGGGTTCCTCTAACGTGCGGGAACTGAAACCTGCTGACTGAGTGACGGGTTCCTCTAACGTGCGGGAACTGAAACCTGCTGACTGAGTGACGGGTTCCTCTAACTTGCGGGAACTGAAACCTGCTGACTGAGTGACGGGTTCCTCTAGCGTGCGGGAACTGAAACCTGCTGACTGAGTGACGGGTTCCTCTAACGTGCGGGAACTGAAACCTGCTGACTGAGTGACGGGTTCCTCTAGCGTGCGGGAACTGAAACCTGCTGACTGAGTGACGGGTTTCTCTAACGTGCGGGAACTGAAACCTGCTGACTGAGTGACGGGTTCCTCTAACGTGCGGGAACTGAAACCTGCTGACTGAGTGACGGGTTTCTCTAACGTGCGGGAACTGAAACCTGCTGACTGAGTGACGGGTTCCTCTAACGTGCGGGAACTGAAACCTGCTGACTGAGTGACGGGTTCCTCTAACGTGCGGGAACTGAAACCTGCTGACTGAGTGACGGGTTCCTCTAACGTGCGGGAACTGAAACCTGCTGACTGAGTGACGGGTTCCTCTAACGTGCGGGAACTGAAACCTGCTGACTGAGTGACGGGTTTCTCTAACGTGCGGGAACTGAAACCTGCTGACTGAGTGACGGGTTCCTCTAACGTGCGGGAACTGAAACCTGCTGACTGAGTGACGGGTTTCTCTAACGTGCGGGAACTGAAACCTGCTGACTGAGTGACGGGTTCCTCTAACGTGCGGGAACTGAAACCTGCTGACTGAGTGACGGGTTCCTCTAACGTGCGGGAACTGAAACCTGCTGACTGAGTGACGGGTTCCTCTAACTTGCGGGAACTGAAACCTGCTGACTGAGTGACGGGTTCCTCTAACGTGCGGGAACTGAAACCTGCTGACTGAGTGACGGGTTCCTCTAACTTGCGGGAACTGAAACCTGCTGACTGAGTGACGGGTTCCTCTAACGTGCGGGAACTGAAACCTGCTGACTGAGTGACGGGTTCCTCTAACTTGCGGGAACTGAAACCTGCTGACTGAGTGACGGGTTCCTCTAACGTGCGGGAACTGAAACCTGCTGACTGAGTGACGGGTTCCTCTAACGTGCGGGAACTGAAACCTGCTGACTGAGTGACGGGTTCCTCTAGCGTGCGGGAACTGAAACCTGCTGACTGAGTGACGGGTTCCTCTAACGTGCGGGAACTGAAACCTGCTGACTGAGTGACGGGTTCCTCTAACGTGCGGGAACTGAAACCTGCTGACTGAGTGACGGGTTCCTCTAGCGTGCGGGAACTGAAACCTGCTGACTGAGTGACGGGTTCCTCTAACGTGCGGGAACTGAAACCTGCTGACTGAGTGACGGGTTTCTCTAACGTGCGGGAACTGAAACCTGCTGACTGAGTGACGGGTTCCTCTAGCGTGCGGGAACTGAAACCTGCTGACTGAGTGACGGGTTTCTCTAGCGTGCGGGAACTGAAACCTGCTGACTGAGTGACGGGTTCCTCTAGCGTGCGGGAACTGAAACCTGCTGACTGAGTGACGGGTTCCTCTAACGTGCGGGAACTGAAACCTGCTGACTGAGTGACGGGTTCCTCTAACGTACCCTGCGCCATCTTAGGGTGATTTAATGTCTAACCAAGTATAGCAGTGAACAACTCTTATCTCATTAATTAAATTGTATGATTTTTCGTTGGTTACAAGGTAACTAAATTGAATGTGGTAACCTTGCCTCGCCTGGTCACTTGGTTGATCACTACACAACACAATACGACAACAAAAAACACACCAACGATATTCATTCTTTTTTCTGTAACTAGGCATAGGCCAAGACTTATCATACTGATAAGGCCCAAGATAAGGGCAATTCTGATTTAGTGCATATTTTAACAAATAGCCGATTTTAATTTATAATTTAAGACTCAGATCACAATTCTGTAGTATACGGTACTCAGATCGCAATTCTGTAGTATACGGTAGGGTACCTAGGGTACCCATACGGTACCTCCGGTTCTCATAAAAGGATCTGATTTGAACTATAGTTAGATTATAACGTTTATATTTTCTCTACTTTTACTTTTTTGGTTACAACTTCACAACAAGATCAAAGTATTTAAATATTCAACAAAGATTTTTAAAGTGAAAACAACTGAACTGGAAGGGTTTAAAATGTCCAGTTTTAGCAATATTATATATAGTATATAAGACAATATATTGAGTTATTATCCGCCGAATAAACCTTTTCAAGTCGATAAATTACTAAACTTACTTAACTACCCTGTCACTTGAATGATCGATGAAAATTATAAAATTACAACATAGCACGAATTATCACGTATACTGGTAGGATCTGTAGAAACTAGAGAGGTATTTATTAGCCCTTTATACTATACTATACTACTCTTGTAACACCCTGCGCCCTAGTAATCTTAACTAAAAATGAAATAAACTAAGATAACAAACTACAACACTAGAATAATAGGCACGAAGTAGTCAGTAGTACACAAGTTTAGTATAACAACAACACTAGAGTGAGCAGAGTACTCATAACAAGGTGACACTACCTACATTACCATACTGTACATCTTACTGTAACAAGGTGACACTACCTACATTACTGTTAAAATACTGTGGGAGAGAGTCTCACTGTAACCAGCTGTGTGTTAAAGAACATGATATTAAGTAATATACTCTGCTACTGCTCAATTGGTGTACAATCAAAGTAAAGTGGGCCAGTAGCTACATATTATAATCATCTAGTTCTCTACGCTCTCAATGTGTAGTACTGTGTCTATTGTCCATAGTTAATACTTATCTTCAGTAATTCCATGTTGTTGTAATCCATATAATTAGGTTTAACTAAATTTTTTTTTTGGGTTCAACTGAAAAATATATTAATTAGTTGAACTACCAAATACGATATTTTCTACTTTTTGGGGAAATGAGAGAAACTGAGAAAGTTAACGACTCAAATATAAAGATTGTAATGTAAATGTTCGAGTATTGACAATCTAACTTGTTCCTTTAATCTCATGAGCTTTTTTAAGATCGTTTGAGAACATGAATACGACTACTCTATAATCTATATAATAATATGTACACTGTACTGTTAGACACCTGTATACACGAGAACTGTTATTAAGTTTAAATTAGTATGAAACTATTCTTAGACACTGCCTACACCGCCTAACGGCCTCATCTAATGCTTGTAGTAAAAACGGTCGATGGAGATTGTTGTTTAAATTTCATACGGAAATGTAGTACAACTTTTCAACGAGTATAACTAAAGCTAAAATCAGCTTTTTTGTGAAATTGTAAAGAAAATAGTAGTTTATTAATTACCAGTATTCTCTCCCCTACGCGTACACTGGCTTTCGTTATACAATATACATAGAAGGTTTTTGTATATTATGTCCCCTTAAGTGTAGGTACAAGACTTCAGTCTAGTGTTTGAGTGGCATAACAGGGACTTATCGTTAGAAAGTTCTAACTCTTTAAAGATACTGTGAATTCCTTTTAAATAGTTGCAATAAAATATAATCAAATATCCACTTAAAATAATTTAAACACGTGTTAAACCTCCTTGTCCCTGTCAGGAAGTGATAAAGATCCACCCTCAAGCTAGCACGGTGGTTTGCAGGCGGGTACTGGACCTCTTAGTGGCACTTGGCCGGTACTTCCCCAACCACTTCCTAAGCAGGAGTGTTACAGACTCCGGCCTCAAATACGGTGGAAACAAACTTCCTGATGACAAGAAGGTAAAGAGTTCTTTACTTTTCTTCAAATTATATTTTTCTGTAGTAATCTTAGAAATTAACTGGTACTCTCGAGTCTCGAGCATCAAAATATTGGCTACTTTTTTATAATACTAAAAGTGATGTATTAAATACACTTATTAGGCTACTTTTTTATAATACTATTACTAAAAGTGATGTATTAAATACACTTATCAGGCTACTTTTTAATAATACTAAAAGTGATGTATTAAATACACTTATTAGGCTACTTTTTTATAATACTATTACTAAAAGTGATGTATTAAATACACTTATCAGGCTACTTTTTTATAATACTAAAAGTGATGTATTAAATACACTTATTAGGCCCCACAAGCAGAGCTTCTCAACACTGGATTAGCTCTTACTGACTTCTGGGACTTCCTACTCAGCTCAGATCATGGTTAGTTATCAGACATACGTAGTAAGTTGTGTAATAAATATGTAATGAATAATAAATATGTAATGAATAATACATATGTAATGAATAATAAATATGTAATGAATAATAAATATGTAATGAATAATAAATATGTAATGAATAATAAATATGTAATAAATAATAAATATGTAATGAATAATAAATATGTAATGAATAATAAATATGTATACTAATTATATTAGAAATTATGCATTATCTTTGGTTACCGTATTCAATTTCATTGTTTATTGCCTTCTGCTTAAACTTTGACATTGACTTAAAAATAATGAATAATAAATATGTAATAAATAATAAATAATATGAAATGAAATGAAAATTAAAGTAGAAATCTACCAAGGGAAATTTGATCTAGTTATATTAAGTTAATTAACATATAATCAGTAATTAGAAACCACAAAACATGCCCGATATTTTCAGTAAAAGGAAAGACTCCGTCAGGAAAGTCTACCAAGATGGGGACCTCGTCCCACTTCTTATCGTGCCCCATGGGACAGCTAATGGTTCTACTAGATCACCCCGTCATTAAAAACAACCAGAACCTCATAGATAGGTAAGACTTAGCACTAACACAGTGTATAACCTTACTTACACTATTCCTTTGTGATATGGGTGCAAATTCTTGTGAATGACGTTAAATAACGCAAGTCCCTTATAATCTACAACACTAACCACACTAACCACACTTATAACACACTAACCACACTCCTCTATAATTTCCACTTCTAGGTTACTGAGACTGCTGTCCTCTATAGCACATGCTCTAGCCGAACAGACTTCCGACAAGAAAGAGGACAAGAAAAACAAGAATGTGGAACCCTTACCAGAGGACTGTCCAGAGAACAGCATTGAGAAACAACATCTCCAACTGGTTACTAGCATCCTCACCACTGGAGCCTGTAGTGAGGTAATAACTAGATTATTTTATATATAATTATAAAGTTAGAATTAAAAGTCTATTCCCATGAAAGTCATGTCATCCTACTTTGCCATCCGTACATTTCAAAAAACTTTTGTCATAAGATTCAAAGTAAACGACGAACTACAATTTTTACAATAAAATGTATCATCTTAAAAGAGTGATTTAAGAGTTTTTTTTTTAAATGAGCACAAACCTCTGTCTCTATATGGGTCATGGTGAGAGTTGGTTGCATTCCACATGTTGCTCTCACTCAGCAGCCCAGGATACGGTGTTCCGCCAAACCTCTAGCTCTCATCTCGGGGGGGGGGGGGGGGGGGACCAACGGGCATTAATGGCAGTATTTTAAAATTTTGCTCAGACTGCCATTGCCATTAATGCCCATTAATTCCCATTAATGCCCGTTGGTTCCCCCTCCCCCCCCTCCCCCCCTCCCTTAGAACTCGCTTATATATTTGCTCCTGATGTTTGATTTGCATATTAGTTTGATTTACATATTAACTAATTAACTAATTAACTAATTAACTAATGGACTATCTAATTACAGGAGGGATTGGAGGACGGTACTTCACTATTACTCCAGCTGTCCAAAGTAAACTCCAGGCTTAGAGACATGACGCTGTCTCTAATGTTGTCCGGACTGCAATCAGTCGCTGCTGACCTTCAGCAACAGGTAATTTAATGCATTGATTAAATAACTTATTGGTTAATCAATTGAGGAATAAGTAAATTTAAATAAGTAAGTTCCTGAGGAGGTTAAGTTTTCTTCAATTCCTTAGTTTTATCTGTAACCTTGAATACTTTGTCAAATAAGAGACGTCATATCAAAAAAAATATTGGGAACGCAACCGTAACTAAAATCTGACAAATAATTTCAGATAAAGCAACTGTTGGAAGAGCTAAAAGAAGAGCACCGAAGGAACCCACAGAAGAAACAAAAAGAGAAGGATGTGACAAAGAGCAAAGCCCTGACCTTGCAGCCCAACAAGGGTTCTCTCAAGACTCCACACAGGGATCTCCATCTTCCTGCCATGTCTAATCTGACCAAGAAAAACAGCAGCCAGGCTTACTTCCTACGTATACTCAAGGTACGTATTTCTTTCTAATTAACGCCGGTCTCGGCATTACTTCTCAGTATTAATGGTTATACCGATCGAGCATTTTGCTATAGCCCTCCAAATAAGAATTAGCTAAATGTAAGGGTTTAACAATTTCCCATCAACGTATCGAACTTAAGTCTTTAACATAATAATTGAAAAAGGCTTATCTCATTATGTTTACATAGTACTATTAACTATTAACTATTTGTAGGTGGTAATAGCTGTCAGGGACGTCACGATTAAAAGCATTGAGGCCGAGAAAGAAAAGAAGAAGAAAGAGCGTGAAGCTAAGGTGAAGGAAGAGAAAGAGAAGAAGAGGAAGGAGAGAGAAGAACAGAGGAAGGAGGGCGAAGAGACGGAGAGTGACGATGAGGATGACGAGGAGGAAACTAAGAGTGAAGAGGAAGAGGACAGTAAGTCTTCCTTTTTATTTTTTAAATAATCGCATTTTTGTTAGGAATCAATTAAGTGTTACAGTTACATCTCAATATTGATATGTTGTGAGGGATATCTTTAACATGTCAGTAGATTACAAGTAATTAGCAAGATGGTAACAATTAAAGTGGTATATACATGCCTCATTAACTCTTGTTTCTCTCAGAAACGGGAGGTCTGGGTCCACTATCAGAACAACTCAAAGTCTCTCAACTGTGGACGACTCTGGGAGAATGTCTGACTGAGCTTGGTTCCAGCTCCGATACTCACGCCGTCCTGGTTCTTCAACCCGCCGTTGAGGCTTTCTTCCACGTTCACGGTATTGACAGTACCGCAGAGAAGACCTCTTCTGCTTCAAGACGAGGCCGCAACACATCGGGATCTCTGGATCTGTTGAGCGAGAGTCCTGCTCCGCTGAGTGTGGAACCTGTGGATAGTGTGAGCTCTCTGAGTTCAGGGGGTCAATGCTCCTTACCTATCTTTACTTCCGACATGTGTCCTGATACTCGCAAGTTCATCACATTCGCTGAGCAGCACCGTATCGTGCTGAACCAAATATTGAGACAGAGCACTACACCGCTCAGTGACGGTCCCTTCCAGGTTCTAGTCAACCACACTCGTGTCCTGGACTTTGACGTGAAGAGAAGGTACTTCAGACAAGAGCTGGATAAGATAGAAGAAACTAACAGAAGAGAGGACATCGCTATCAGGGTCCGACGTGAGCACGTGTTTGAGGAGAGCTTCAGAGAGCTGCACAGGAGATCCCCTGAAGAGTTGAAGAGCAGATTGTACGTGATATTCGAGGGAGAAGAGGGGCAGGACGCTGGTGGTTTGTTGAGGGAGTGGTACCAGATTATCGCTAGAGAGATTTTCAATCCTCACTACGCTCTCTTCACTACTACCCCCGGGGACAAGGTCACGTACGTGTGCAACAGTTTCAGTCATTACAATCCAAATCACTTGGACTACTTCAAGTTTGTGGGCCGAGTCATCGCCAAAGCTATCTACGATAACAAACACCTGGACTGCTACTTTTCCCGGTCATTCTACAAACACATTCTCGGACAGCCAATTAGTTTCAAGGACATGGAACACGAAGACTATGCTTTTTACAAGAGCATGATGTTCCTTCTGGAGCACGATCTGGTCGAGGCTGGGCTAGACAACCTCGACTTTACTATGGAGATAGAAGAGTTCGGAGTATCAGAGACCAGGGAGTTAAAACCTAACGGTGACAACATTGCCGTCACGAACTCCAATAAGAAGGAGTATGTGAAACTCATCTCCCAAATGAAGATGACCGGCAGTATAAGGTCCCAGATAAAAGCTTTCCTTGACGGTTTCTACGATATAATCCCCAAACACCTCATCTCGATATTCAGCGACAACGAGCTTGAACTTCTGATATCTGGTCTCCCAACCATTGATATCGAGGATCTGAAAGCGAACACCGAGTATCACAAATTCAGCGTCACCTCCCTCCAGATCCAGTGGTTCTGGCGAGCGCTGCGCTCCTTTTCGCAAGCGGAACGCGCCAACTTCCTTCAGTTCGTCACCGGCACCTCCAAAGTTCCTCTACAGGGCTTCTCTTCTCTCGAGGGTATGAATGGCGTGCAGAAGTTTCAGATTCACAGAGACGACAGGTCTACGGACAGACTGCCTTCCGCTCATACCTGCTTCAACCAGCTTGATCTTCCAGTTTACGAGACCTACGATAAACTGAGGAGGAACCTCCTTCTCGCCATCAATGAGTGCCCTGAAGGATTTGGCTTGGCTTGAAGTTTGAACTGCAAAAGCTTAACATGTTGCCGAGCAATTATTATGATACGTGACCTAACTTTTGGTTGCCGAGCGAATATATTCATCGGCTTTTTGGGAACCGCTGTAAATTATTTTCAAGTTGGATACGTTGAACTTATTGCAGATTCATTGGTTTTTTAGTTTTTGGAATATGTTTTCACATTGAAAGGGGTATACGGGGATAAAAGAGAAGATATAAAATGTATCGGCTTGTTATTTATAATGTTGTTGTTTACAACACGACCTATATATCGGGGTAATAGTTGTGACAGGTCGTGTTTCAGATCATTATATTAGATGAGTAGTGAGTTTAGGGGCCATCTACATTTACTAACCTCACTCCGCTATAACTTCGTTCATGAAAATGACTGTCGTTTTTAGGCATCTGTGTGGCACGTGCACGCGGTGCCATTTAACTTCGTTTTAGCTTACACTTCCAAGGAAGAATTTCATATACACGGATTAACCTCTAGATTGTGTACCTGTTCCTCAAAAATCTTAATAGTTTTCAAATAAATTTAACTCAATAATCGCATATCATTTCTTCAAATGTGGCTTCAAGCGAAATTTTACCTCTGAAAACATTTCCTTGTGTTTAGAAAAACATATCTTTCGATCACTAACTGAATATGCCACATTATTCTCATTCAAGTTGGCATTAAATTCAAATATAATGACATTGAACTGTCGTGGCAAAGCAGAATTTGTTCGAAATCACGAATGAGCAAAATTCTCATCTTTCGCACGTACAAACTTTGAGTTACCTGGGGACCTCGGCCTCGGCGGAATGACAGGCTGAGCGCGGCCCAGTAAACTTTGAGCGGACGTTGCGTGCGCATTTGACGTATGTCGCGCCGGGCCAGATCATTAAAAATGGTCAAGTGCGCATCTTGTAGCGCGATGCACTACTGGGTCGCGCCGCGCATCAAATAATTCTTCTCGCAACCACGGTAGATCGGCGAAATGCACCACTGTGCCTCACCGAGCTGCGAAGGATTGACATCGTGAATAAAGTGCGCATCCAATATTGAATCACCTTTTTGCATATTCGTTATTTTTTCATTCCCCTAACGAGGAATTGGACTTACTTCCTTATACGGTCATATCACGTGATCGAAACAGTTTTTCACCAATATCTCGTCAGGGGAGCATTCGGAATCAGCGTCCCAAAATACATCGCGATCGATTGAAGTTTGCTTTTAACTGTTGGGGGCCTTTTAGAACAATTTCGAAGATCGACTGTAAAATGATTTAGCACGCTTGTGCCAAACCGGAACCATAAAAACCAAACACCAAAGTCACTTGACGGTTGTAGCGCAATGCACTACTGGGTCGCGCGCGCGCATCCAATAATGCTTCTCGCAACCACTTATGCACTATGCAGATCGGCGAGATGCGAAGGATTGACATCGTGAATCAAACTTGACGGATGTTACTCGTCTAAATTTCTTCGAAGTAGCGCGCGTTGCTTTCTTCTTGGCCCGATGGCAAGTGCTACGAAGTAGCGCGCGCCGGACCTGATCATTAACAATGGTCAACAAAGTCACGTAATAATTTCTGGGCGAGCGAATTAGTAAGAACCGCCTAGGGTTTTCCAGGTATGAGGTAACAAGTAAACGGCGGGCGCACGCCACTGCAAGTGCAAGGGCCTTGTTTAAAGACAAGTTAATTTTTTATATTGCTCGCTTTTCGTTTACTGGGCCGCGCTCAGCCTGTCATTCCGCCTAATCTTTATGTTTATAAACATGATAGCCTGAGGTCTTCAGGTAAGCTTTTCGAATGTGCAAGTAACTTGAAAATAACGCTGCGCACAGGGATTGACGTTCCAGGTAAACTAGCTGGAGCTCTTCCATTTTCAAATCGAAAACGTTCGGGTGTTAATTGATGATGTCAATTCTTCGCTGCTCGGCGAGGCCCAGTAGCGCATCCAACATTTCGCTGATCTAACGAAAGCATCGCGCTACAAGTTCGGGTGCTACGATAACTTAATTAGGATGCTTAAAGCCATCATTAAAGCTGCCAAACGTTCGCATTACTGCAACGAAATCCTCAACAACTGTGAAAACAGCAAGAAAACTTGGCAAATTATCAATGAACTTAGAGGCAAGAAGAAGAGACAAACCAAACCCCCGTTTATCATTGATAATCAAAGAATAGTTGATAGAAGGACAATCGCTAATGGATTCAATGCTTGGTTTGTCTCTATTGCACCCAAGCTGAATGAGACGCTTAATGACCTATCTCATGGCATGCCTATATTACCCATGAAAACTTTTTATGACTTCCTGAATAAAAGAAATGAAAAAACTATTATGCTAGAAGATTGCTCCCCGACCGAAATATTGAAAATTATAAATCAGTTTGAAAACGGCAAAGCTAGTGACATTCCAATAAGTGTAATAAAAAAGTCATCTCATATAATTGCACCTGTCTTATCAAATTACTTCAATATCCTTATGGCCGAAGGTATATTTCCAGATGTCCTGAAAACTGGTAAGATAACACCTGTATATAAGAAAGGTAACCCTGAAGAAATTGAGAACTACCGTCCTATATCCACACTGTCTGTCTTCGGTAAAATCTTCGAAAAGCTCATTTACTCAAGAATATACGGATTTGTTAGCTCTCAAGGAGCCATATCGGAGACACAGTTTGGATTTAGGCAATCCCATTCTACATCTCATGCAGTCAATTACTCTGTAGATTTAATTACAAAATCTCTTAAACTCAAGAATCATGTTCTAGGAATATTCATTGACTTAAGCAAAGCTTTTGACACTATCGACCATTCAACACTACTTATAAAATTAGAGGGCTGTGGAATTAGAGGAGTAGCAAATAACCTTATAAAAAGCTACTTAACAAATAGACTACAATACACCGAAGTTGTGGGAGAAAAATCAGACACCCTATCTATTCAATTTGGTGTCCCGCAGGGTTCAATACTTGGACCTCTCCTATTTCTCCTCTACATGAACGACATCTCAAACAGTTCTAAACTAGGATCATTTGTTACATTTGCTGATGATACCAATATATTTGTTGTAGGAAAAACAAAACGTGAGGCCTATGAACGTGGAAATAAGCTTCTTTCATCATTGCAGTCTTACATGCGAGCAAATAAGTTACATATAAATATGTCCAAGTGCTGCTACATACACTTCAAGCCTCCCATGAAAGGTTCTAAGTCAGAGACTCTATCAGATGATGAAGTAGGACTTACTATAGACAACTTTCCGATAAAAAAAGTTTCATCCACTAAATTCCTTGGAGTTATAATTGATGAAAACCTTTCATGGGAAGAACACATTAAAGCCCTTAAGCGAAATCTAAATCATTCCACTTCCACCTTATGTCGACTTCGCTGCTCCCTTCCAGAATTTCTACATCAACAACTATACTATACTTTGTTTGAATCCCATCTCTCTTACTGTATATCTGTCTGGGGTGGGGCAGCGAAGCATCGTATAAGCTCTCTGTTTACCGCCCAGAAGTACTGTCTTAGGGTTATGTTCGGTGATAGGGAGGCTTACCTTGATAAGTTTAAGACCTGTGCACGTACCAGACCAATAGGGCACCAAAGACTTAACAACAAGTTTTTCATAAAAGAACATACTAAACCGCTATTCAAACATAATAATATCCTAGCTATCCAAAATCTCTATACATACCACTGTTACCTCGAGCTCTACAAGATAATGAAATTTCGTGCTCCAATATCCTTACATGAAGGCTACACATGCTCGACAAGGAAGCCGACCCTACTTATTTGTCAGGCTGACCCACCTGATAACCATAATACAAGATCAACCAAAATTTTTAACATGATTACTCCAAAAATTAGAATGGATGACTTTACCATGAGTGTGATGTGTTTGCGGGGAAAGCTTAAACGTGCACTATTAAATAATCAACACAGCCACGCCCCGCTTGATTGGACAATCAAAGATTTTGACTGCAACAATATTGTCTTCGAAAGATCACTACTTGCTGGTCACACACATGTCAGCGAAATTCCCCTAGTCTAGTGTTTTCCAAGTCTTGTTCTGTGAGAAAAGTATGTGTGAGAAAGTCTTTAATAAAATAAAATGAATGTATATTTTTGAATTTTTAACATTTAATTTGATAATGCAGTATAAAGAAATTTTTAATTAGCACTGTATAGTTTAAGATATTTATATTAGCTTATTATAACCATTGATACAACGAACATAATTTTTCAACAGCTCTCCAATATCCATCTTAAAGTTGCATCTTATATCCTCAAACTACACAATTTAAACTTAGGCATATATATAGTGTAGACTTTCTGTCACAACAAGACTGTAACCCATAGTAACAAACACAAACAGAACCCCTAACGTCTGCTAACAATTTTCTTCTGATCCTCATATGAGCCCTGTCTCTAAAAACTCAACTGAACTAGCGTTTTGGTGTGTGCAAAAGCTTTCAGGCACGCACATTCCCTGCCCCGTTAGTTGCCTGTCCCTTCAAAATCAAACTAACAGTCAAGGACAAAAAGTCATACACCAAATGAGCATTATATTTTTATAAATTGTTTTACATCTCTTTACTCTGTAAAATGTGCTAAAAATTAAATTTCTTGTTTCATAAATTTCTTGTTTCATTGAATTGGCTTTAACTAATTCGCTCGCCCAAACATTTCACGTGACTTTGGTTTTTATGGTTTTGCAGCCGTACAAAACGGTTTTACATAAACCCTAATCCCAACCCTAACCTTTACCATAACCCCGAAGCTATTCATAACGTCCTTACCACAACCTTAACTCTAACCCGAGCCCTAAACAATCGAATTCATGTTTTACTAGCCTGTCACGTGACCATTGATTCACGATGTCAATCCTTCGCATCTCACCGATCTGTTGCGAGAACAGAGAAGCATTATTGGATGCGCGGCCCAGTAGTGCATCGCGCTATACAACGTGACCATAACGGTTTTTTGCCCATAACTCTCCAGGGAAGCATTTTTACCCTACGTCATGGGGTTGATTCAGAATCAGCGTCCAAAAATACACCGATTGAGATCAACCAAAAAGCCTTTTTTACAAGAATTTTCTTAAAATTTGGGCGAGCGATTTAGTAGGAGCGAACTTTTATTAATCTTGTAGGGTTACAACCTACCAGAACGCGCGCCGAGTTGGACTTACCTGGGGACCCCAGGCTATTATGTTCATAAACATACCGAATAAACCGAATAAACCGCCGAATAAAGATTTGGCGGAATGACTGGCTGAGCGCCGCCCAGTAAAGTTGAATTGGTCGACGGTCCTAATATATGGAACAAATATTTTATGAGTATCACCCGTTAATTTTGCTAGTACTTTAGTTAAGTTTTCGAAATTGTCCCACATTCAAACGACGATTTGGCGCCTCCCTAAGACGGCGCGCCCCCGCACAGCGGGGTCAGCGGGGCCCTTCGTTACACCACTGGTTTGTCGTCTATCCTTGGAATTATTAAAGGCTACAAATTAGAGTGGCTTTCTTGTCCCCTTCCATGTTCTCCAGAAAC